CTTTCGAGAGAAAGATATATAATTTAATTTCGTATCGCAAAAATATTGATATCATTAACTTTGAACTTTAATAACTTTTTTATTTTTTAACTTAAATAAACAAATTTGATATCAAATGAAAGAACACTTTTCAAAGTTTATAAGTCAATAAATAAAATTGCATTAATTATCATATTATCTATAAAAAAGCATAAGAAGTAAGAAATGGTAAAAAAAGTTATGTACAAAAAGTATTTTCGTGAAATCAAAACTTTAAATATTATTAACAAAATAAAGCTATTAATTTAGTAAAAACAATATTAATATCGAGTATTGCCTCCGTTGGCATCAATCACAGCCTGCAATCTTCTTGGAACACTTTGGATCAGCTTTTCTGTGACTTCTTCAGGTATATTTTTCCAGACATTAAATAACGACTCTTTAAACGCAGAAAAACTTTTTCTTTCGCTCTTTGGCACACGTCTGTCCAATTCATCCCATAGATGTTCAATAATATTGAATCTGTGGCGGCCACTCAAGTGTCTCAATTTGATTGTCAGAAACCATTTCTTTGCCAATTTTGATGTGTGCTTTGGGTCGTTGTCCGCTTGATTCATCGCTTATTTGTAGATCTCTGGCACTCTGAAGCAAATGTGGGGTAAAATATTGTTAACGTAAATGTAGCGGTCCATAGTTGATGGAATTTCGACCAAATGGCCAACTCCCTGGCCTGTCATAATACCATAACTGATTTCGAGTGCTTCACAGTTGGACATATATTATCAGGATTAATGCTCGCCTCTCTTTTTAAACACTCGTTGGCGACGTTTATATAATAATCTCAAATTTTGACTCATCTGACCACAAGACCTTCCTCCAGTATGACATAGGCATCCGGATGTAAAAGTCTAATCGTTTTCTCTGATTTGTTAGGCTTATCATTGGACGTCTTCGCGCAATACCACTGTAATAACCCATTTCTTGAATCCGGTGTCTAATAGTGTTTCTGTGACACAAAATGTTTCTGGCGGCCATAATCTCATCGGTGGTCAACTAATTCGAAATATCCTGTCCTGTTTAGCACTGGTACATCTTTTTCGACCACTAGATTTCTAACTGTCCCGTACTTTTCGACTTTCTTTACAATTGATCGGACAGTATTATCAGTTGTTGTAAACAGTTCCGCTATTTTTGCGTATGACTTTCCGGTGCTGACTCTCATATCATACATTTGTTGGCGAATTGCATCTGAAAATTCTTGTATTTTAACCATTTATGATAATCACTGCATTTACTGTTTATTTACGTGTATTCAAATTAATAACAATGCATTGGAATCAATTGGTCCCAACAATGTGTCTGAAATCACGCGCGTTTTAAAAACACGAAAATAATTTTTGTATAAATTATTAACACCTATAACTTTACCTTGATATATTTTGTTATTTAAACCATTGTTTTGACCATCTAGTATATCAATTTAATTGTGATTTATTACTCTATTATTTGATATCAAATTTGTTTATTTAAGTTAAAAAATAAAAAAGTTATTAAAGTTTAAAGTTAATGATATCAATATTTTTACGATACGAAATTAGATTATGTTTTTAGTGTATATAGTTAATGAAGTTATTGTTGTTATTATTGAAAGTATTATTTTCTGAGATTTTTGTCCATAACTCATAATTTTTGATTCATAAATAAAAAATAATTAAAATAAAAGAGTCGGCAAATTGTATGAAGAAAATATATATCATTTATTTTATTGTTATTTTTWAAAAAAAGAGAAAATATTAATAATACTAAAAAGTTATTAGTTTTGTATCCACACCGACACATATAAGTGATTAATATTGACCAAAACATATCATTAATAAAATCAATTGTCTACTACTACTTACTACTACAGCATATAGTATATACTGTACTTATTTATTATAGAGTATTAGACAATATTATCAAAAAATGTTTGTATGTCATGTATTGTATGAAGAGGGGAGATTTAATATGATATAATACATATATACTATATATATATATATATATATATATACTATATATTGGGCTAATATCACATATCATTTTTAAAAAGATATATATTTTATTTTGAAGTCAAAAAAAATATGGTATACAGTAGTGTTTGAAATGTTACAGAAATTTGTTTCTTATATTATTAGATTTTTATTTTTTTTATCACAAACGTTTGCTTAATGGTGTTTAGTGTCTATAAAGGCCGGGGTTTGTGTTACACACACACACACACACACACACACACACACACACACACACACACACACACACACACACACACACACACACACACACACACACACACACACACACACACACACACACACACACACACACACACACACACACACACACACACACACACACACACACACACACACACACACACACACACACACACACACACACACACACACACACACACACACACTATTTTGTGTACAAAAAAAGTTATAATAATATATTTATATTTACAAACTCAAACACATACACACAGTGCACATAACTTTTAACATGAGTTATAAAAAATGACAATAATATAAGAGACAATTTTTTTGTTTGTTATATATATATAACGATATTTTGTAATAAATATATATTTTTTCGCTGAGACTATTTGTTTGGCATATATTTTGAAGTATAAATATAATAATAAAACCATATGAGAAATTATTGTCAATATAAATATTATTCTTTCGACAATAAAAATATTGTATAAACTAAACTGAAAAAATAACTAATGTTTTTAGATTGAAAATAATAATAAATTAATATTACTATTAATAATAATATATTTAATGACTTACCGGTCGGTATATAGATTTTATAATAGTTTTGTATGTATTGACTCATTATACGTGTCGTACAGATTAGTAGCGATAAAAATTGGCTCAAAAATAATGTTTTCCATATAGTCCTAGAAATAAAAATATAAATAACATGAGTTAATATAAAAAAAATATAATAAAGATTTATATTATAGATATATGATTTAAAGTTAGATAAATAACTTTAAAATATAAAAATTGATTTATATTATTATTATTATATATATATACAGTATTATAGTACAACTGTACAGTAATATCATAGTATATTATAGTATGAAAATAAATCTGAGAAAATATACACTTAATATCTTTTACTCAATACTACTAAATATCCATGAGATGAAAAATATAGTATATATATATATAAATACACACTGTGTATGAATTTTTTTTATCATAAATTAAATTTTTCAAATATTGTATCATATATACTATAATAAAAAATTCTACATATTATTATTATTATTACTTTTTATACTACGCTAGATATTTACTGTATTATAGTAATGGTGCCCTAAGTTTTAAATAAAATTAAATAGCAAACACATATAAATATATAAAAACAAAAAAAATGTTTCACAGTGACAAAAAATAATAAATTTTCAGTAAAATAAATGAGTTAAAGGCTTGCAATACGCAATTTTATATATAAAATATATTGCAACACATGATAATCAAAATCTAATATTAAATAAATTTAGTTTGCATTTTGCCAAATGTATAGTATATGAGATATATATTTATATCTTTACGATATTATAGTGAAAATTTGTAGTTTTTCTTTCTCGACTCATATTATTGATTATTAAACAACAGTGAGTGAGTGAGTGATAGAGAGAAAGAAAGAGAGAGAGAGAGAGAGAGAGATAGAGAGAGAGAGAGAGAGAGAGAGAGAGAGAGAGAGAGAGAGAGAGAGAGAGAGAGTTGTGTTTCTCAAATTGAAAGAAAAAATTGCAAAAAATAGTAACAAAAAATAGTTCAAAGATAAAATTTAAAACTATGCAATTCAATCAATTTTGTATGTATTTTATTTTACAATAAAAATTATGGTCTCAAAAATTTTTCAACTATTGCTTATCATTATTATTATTATTAAACTACCGAGGTTTATAATACATGATTATTATTTATTTGAATACTATTCAATTTTATACAATATATAATTTCCCTTTTTTTACTATAGCTTATTGTATAATACAATGAGACATAGACTATACATAATACAGTATACAATATAATGTAGTTATTTTATATTTAAAAAATATATATTTATATTCACATCTTATATAAGATAAGATAATATGATATGCAAATGTATTTCAGTGACTTATATATAATATATATATAGCACCAAAAAAAGTTATATGAAAATTTTAATGTATTCATATTATAGTTTCTATCGCATCATATAGTATCATAAAAAATGTATTTCAAAATATAAACAACACATATAAAGTTATATTATAAACAATGCTAGTAGTGGTTATGGATCAGGTCTACCAGAAAAATGAAAGATATTTTATTGTAATATTTTATATTGTTTTATCAAACAAAATAGATGCCACTCATAGCATAATAAATCCAAAAAAATGCATAAACAATATATATATATATATATATATTATATGATTTCAATATGATTATTAAAATTTTTGGCGATTAACATAATCAAAACATATATATTATTTATATAAATAATACAAAATATATTGGATAATTAGTTATACTATTAAATATAGTTACATGTCTATTAAATGTTATTGTAAATATTAAATGTAATCATCTTATGTAGCATAAAGTTTATGTACTTATATAATATATATATATATATATATATGATTTAATTGTCAAACAAACAAATAAAATAAAAAAAACAATATCAATATAAAATAATATATTATTTTATAGACTATAAATTGATTTTTTGTTTGTTTGTTAGTATGAGTACTGATTAACTATAGACTAGTATTAATCCGGGCGCACAAATTAAGCACAAATTGCTGGACTTTACATTACCCATTAGCCAAATATACCAGTGCTTGGGTATAATATACTGTATCATACCATTATACAATAGCATATAAATTTATTTATGTATATATATATATATAGCTGGCTTCTGGAGCTTTTGTCGACAGTGCATTTCAAAACTAATTATCATGTCTTTGCTATTAAGTCAACCGTTTACTAAAAGTGATAGTTGTATGTACTGTACAGTATTTACAAGTAATTGTAATAGTAGTCCTAATCAATGTTTAGGGGTTTTTATTGGAGTAAAAACATTATGTAATACTGAACTACAGTATAGATTGATACTAATTAATAACAAATTAAAAATTAAAATTATAGATTTTAAAGAAAATTACTTGATGTACATTAGCATCTAAAAAAATTATGTACTAATTTACATTTTAATATATTTGATATATACTGTGCCCATAGTATTGTATTATGATTTAAAATTTAAATTATGCGTTAACATGTGTTATATTAAAATGTTTTATATAAATTATGTAATCTATTTAAATAATAAAACCTATCATAAGATAAATGTTATATGAAAAATATGAATATTAAAATATTATTTATACAAACATAGTCTATAATTTATATTATATAGGTATATGTCATCTAAATATTGATATTTATAAATAACATAGTTTTTTCAAATATTATTATTTATTAATAAATCTAAATATTTTATATGTCAACTATAGTTATTTATTTTATTTGGTACTTACCAATTGTATAGCTGTTTTATTAGTATACACATTATTTAATAATAATAATAATAATTAGAATAATTATTATTTAATATCAATATATAACATCACTATTGTTGACATTATGTTTCACACAACAAATATTTGTTTTCAAAAGAAACAATTTGTAATTTTAATTACATATACTTTTACTTTATGAACAAATATTTTATGTCACATATAATAAAGATTTCTATGATTTTATTTTATTTGATTCTATTATTTCTATGTTTTTTAATTGACGGATCAATTAGTAATAGTAGTAGTAGTGGTACAGTAGTTCACTGGCACTGTTATGTCAAATCATAACTTTTTTTCTCATCTAATAATAAACATCACATCTATTTATTATTATTATTACTACAAACGTGTGTTTCTCTATACTTTTTTTTGAAGACAATTTGTTTTTATGACTGACTTTTTTGTGGATAAGAAAGAGAGGTATAGTTACTGAATAGAAAAAATTCTGGTGTTTTCTTAGACAGTGTGTATGTGTGTGCACTGTATGCGTGTGAACTGGTATGTTATTGTATGACTATGTGTATGTGTATGTTATATAACTTATATATATGTGCACAGAATCGCCTGTCAAATGGTTTTGGCAATTGTGTGCTCTGGTATAGCATATACTATGTCTGAACATCTCAAATGATGAGTGCATTCACCACAAAATTTTGTGAATTGTGAGCACATATACTATAAAACCATACACACACATACACATACCGGAGCATAACATTACATAACATCATAGCTTCACTCGCATCGCAACCCAATAATGATCGTCTAGTTTTTTTGTGTTGGTTCAATAAAATGTTTTTGATGCTAATATTAGGTACCGGTGCGTACTCTAACCACAAACAAATAAAACAGTTATAAGTTATATACCGTATATATTATTAATATATACAGAATATTCTGTATATTTAAGATCAATGTCATTATCAATAACAGAAAACTTTCTGTATATAAACATTATGATGTCATACTATAATTATTATTAAAATTATGCTAACTTTTTATAATGACATTATACAGTAAATATTGTATATGTATTAAAATTATTTTTTCTAAACTCAATATTGACATTAAATTTTTTWAAWTTTAAATTTTTATTTATTAACTATCGTAAAACATAATAAACATAACATAAAAATGTGATAAAATATGATATCAGTACAATCATTTATGATAATTTTTAAAAAAGTGTTAAAATAGAAAAGTTTAAATTTTAAAGATAAAGTGGTTTAATGATTACTAAAATAAACATATTATTGATATTGACTTAAATTTATATATATCAATAAATAAAGATACAATTATATAAAAATATCGTATAACTTATAATCTCATTGTTTGTTTTTTAACCGTATAAATAGTGTCTAAGTTTGGGGGATTGGAGGAAAAAAATAAATATGATTTCAATTTTAATAATTTTCATATAAATATATAGAAATAATTTATAAGAATAATTTTTTAAAAAATACAAAAATAATTATTATTTTCAATTATATTTCACTACCGTATATAAACTYAGTATGTACTGTATATGTCACCAACAAAAAATACTATAGTATTATACCCGGTAGTAATTTACTGTATTTATATAATAATTAAATGTCATTTTATAATATTGATATATATTTATTAGGAGTTGGCCGATGCAGCCGAAATGGCCGCTTCGGCTTCTTTTTCGGCCACATCGAGGATAACTTCAAACGAAAACGGCTGAAACATGATACCGGCGCCGCTGTAAAACTTGCTCTGAAATTCAACCCAATGTAGACGTAGGGCGTGYAGGAAAGCGCTCAGACCCTCCATAACCAATAGGACAGAGACGGTAAGGCCAGCCCAGATGGCAAATATAAGGAACATTACGATACCATTAACAAAATATGGCATACCCTCGAGGCCAGTTAAGCCAATTTTCATCACCATATTCCAGAGTACATCACTGAGCTGCGAATGGGCCAGACTTAGTGCCCAAAGACGCAAATAACTGGCCGTATGGGATATGGACCCCAAACAGTATTCAATGGTATGAATGGCCTGATTGATGATGGTGTCACCTAAATCGAATGGTCCGCCTCCGTGACCATCGTGTCCGCCGCCGCCACTATCGTTCGAGTCTTCGACAACCACTAAGACGCTGGTGTCGTTACCGTCAGAATGACGGCGGATAAGCGCCTGCTTTTTCTTATCCACCCGATTCAAATACCACGGTTTGATGGCCAACATCCACGGCACACATATCAATGCTATTACCAACAAAATTGTTTGTATAAGTTTCTGGTTGGGATACCATTGTTTCAGATATTTAGGCGCTTTAGGGTCATCGTCGGCGTCGTATTTGAACAAAAACATATTGATAAGACAGATGAGTACCGACGGGGCATCATTCGAGTTGGTCTCGTCGTATAGAAACCATTTGGCGAATGTCATGCCTATCATATAACCGAAAATGCATAACAGGAACAATACCTGAGGTATGAATTCGACAAATATGTTAATATATTTCTTGAAGTACGTGTGGTTCCATAGGGACAGTATAACACCGAAAAGCATTTGCATAACACCGAGAATGACCGACACTTTCATTTTGTATGTATTGAGGAATACTATCCTGTTTTCGCTGACCTGCCAAATAGGATCAATACCTAACAGATAGGGCAGACTGTCGTGTTTGATATTAATTTTCGAGTTTAATCCGTATGAAGCAGTTGTAAAGCGCGGTACATCTGTCTTGTTAATGGCCACGTCCTGCGGTGACGGCGCCACGTACTGAGAGCCAAATATGTTCATCGATTTGGCAAAACAGTCGTTATATATGAATCCCGTGTAAATGGAAAACAGTCCCATCAATAGGATAAGGTATCGACCATTGAAAAAGGTTAGCCAAATCTCATTGTTGGACTTTTGTGCGGCTAATTGGCGTTCCTTGAGAACCATCCAAAGGGCGAATAAAGCCATGAGAACGCCGTGACCGGCGTCACCAAACATAACGGCAAACAGGAATGGAAACGTAACGATAGTATACGGCGCAGGATTTACTTCGCCATAGTTGGCCACACCGTAAGCGTCAACAATAGTTTGGAAACCAACAGTAAATTTGTTAGTCCTGTTGAACGTCGGCGGCTGTTCGCTAGTCTCCATACGGTTCAAGATAGACGGCACCGACGAACCGCTGCGTTCGGTTCCATACCGTAAGGCCATCCTAACGTTGTCCAATCGATCGGTAGGACACCAGCACTCGGCTATCAGACACTTTTGGGTGACATCAAAGGCAAACATATTCATCGAATGAAAGATGGCTTTCATTTTTCTGACTTTTATGAACCAATTTCGCAAATTCTTAGCTGAGGCCAGTAGTACACGGTGTCGGTGTTCGTTGGTCTGACTCAAAACAGTGTTTAGGTCGTCAATACGGGACAACACATTGCTGACCATTAGACGTCTATCGGCGGCGTCCTCAGGACACGGATATATTGTCGCCCGAAAACCTTCGCATATCTTCTTGACTTTGGCTTTCAGTTGGTCGCCCTGGAAGAAGATGATGAACACTGACTTGAATACTAAATCACCAGTAGTTGGATCTTCCAATGGTTTATCAATTTCTCGTTGACGGAGAAAAACATTTCCGCGACAGACGCGCCAAAGCATACGCTCGAAAGTCATCTGTCGGTCGCGTCGTATAACTCCGGCCACAAACGACAGCCGACCCGTAGAGTACGGGTGATGAGAGTCGTCCGGCAGTATTCGAGTGGTATCGTCAGTGGCGCCGAGCGATTCGCGACGTTGTCTGTTCTCGGCTTCGTCCAGAAAATAATCACTTTTGTTGAGTATTTGTCTCAACTCAACCAACTCCGAGTAGGTCTTCTTCAGCGCTTCTGCGTTATGGTTGACATCTTTGAGTTCAGTCTCCAACCTCTCGAACGTCTGCTCCAATTCAATCATCTCTTTCGGTTGCGGCGGTTCGGGATCGTCGCCGATGTCGAGCACTGGTATCAGTTCGCGGCGAATCTCTTTGTCCAGAAAGCGAAGTTTGCGCTCCATTTCGTCGCACCGGCGAATTTCGTTGACAAACCGGCGCTGAAAGGCGTTGATCTGGCCGTTCAGGTCCTTAAACTCGACCAAACCCAGTGCACCCAATTCGGCGATACAGTTATAGGTGGCCTCACTTTGCAAAAACAGCTGACACAGTGTCATCGGCTCTGACCGGAACAGTGACCCCATTGTTGTCTTGCGGGTGTTGTCTCTTGTTGTCCGCAGCGGTAGTTGTTGTTGTCGTTGTTGCTGTGCCTCAATCTCACTTTCTCGCCGATAAATGTCAGTAAAATAAATGTGGTCTTAAAAAATAATTGATACCAATTCCGCCCCTTTTTCAAGAGTATTCCCTATCTATCTATTGATAGGGAAAAGTCATACAAAAGTGTTTCCAACAATCAATAAGTGGAGTATTAATGGCAACCAATTAATTGAACGCAAATACTAACTGTAATATCAGATATGAAAAAATTTTAAGTATTAGTTTTGAATTACATTTTTTCATATATATATATATATATTATTAATATACTGTATATTTATACAATGATATCATATCTTATGATATTTGTAAATTTACAGATAAATAAACAAAAAAAAAGTTTCACTATATGTTTGTGTTGTTAATGTGTTTTTTTAATCTCAATTAAAGTTACGGTAGGTTTGATTAGGTGATACTACACACATACATGAGCTCATATGACTATACAGTGTACAGATGGTACTAATAGTTTAGTTAATAAGTTAGTTTTTATATGGATATTGTATTAATAAGTATAAATTTTACTCTGATAACTACTTATGATATATATATATATATATATATATATATATATATATATATATATATAAATTGAAAGTTATTGAAATTAAATATATTTTTTCAAAAAATATAATTATATGTTATTAAAAAAAACAATGATTAGTGTGATATTTAAGACAACTATGATATTAGAAAAAATTGATGATAAAAGCTATATCATTCAAAAAACAAAACAAAATTTTTAGATTACAATAAGTTAAAATTGTATTTTATTAGTGTGTTATAACATTTTTTTAACAATTAAAATCTAATAATTATAAATATGATAATTAATTATTTATAAATATCATAGCAAAAAATTAAAAAAAAATAAATAAATAACAATCACATAAATTAATTAAACTGTAATTAGTAATAATAGACTAATAAATGTACTTATAAAAAAACAAACATAAATGTTCTAGATGGTTTAATAAAAAAAGGAAAAATTAATAAGTTATTACTATTAAATAAGTAAATTATTCTAACTTTATGTTATTTATTAATAAAATCACATTATTATTATTATTAAATTTATTATTATTATTAGTATGTTGACAATAAAGTTATTGTAATTTACTAATTTTGTTTTTATTAAATATCACTAAATTTATTGTTGATTTGAAAAAAAACAAACAATATATTTCATAGAAAAAATTGTTAACATTTACAAATGTAATATATTTATTATAAGGCACTTATAGATTTTGATATCAAACCAAACTTCAAATCAATTTATTAATTAAAACATATTAATTAAAATATTAATTAATTAATTAATGGATTCACTTATTATTAAATATAGTATTGCATAGTCATATTGAAATAAACAAATAACATAACCAACAAATAAACAAACATTTTGTTTTTAAGCTATTTAAACAATTACTACATTACATTACAGTACAATACTATTACAATAATAATAATATGTTAAAACGTCAAAATGTTTTTTTTAAAAAAAATACATAAGTAATACATATTATGTATACAGTATTTTAATGTTGATATTGTTATTATTATTATTATTATTATTATTATTATTATTATTAAATTATTATTATTTGTTAATGTCATTCATTTAATTTATATGCCATATGTTTTTTTTGGTGCCTCTCCTACCCATACATTGTATGTATGTATTGTCATCTATAGTAGCCATTGACAACTGTTTTATTAATATTAAATGTATTAATAAATAAATTACACTGTACTGTACTAACCATAAATATTGTCCTAGTTCAAAAAAAAGTTGCGAAAATTAAATTATTTAAAATATATATATAATATTTATTTTCAAACTATTAATACAAGGTAGTTATTATATTAAATTTTTAAAAAATAAATAAATATTATTTTTAGTTATGTGGCAGTGCATAAAACTATTAATACTTAACAACAAAAATAATTTATTATTATTAATATTAATATTAATATTTATAATCTATACCCTGATTTATAATAATAAATTATCAATAAATGTGTGTGTCTTTATGTATATGGCCAAGGCCAGTTTACAATTATAATAACGTCAATATTAATTTAATATGCTACATCACATCAATACATGTACCTGTTTAAATTTATGTATATATATGTAGTGTGTGTGTGTGTGTGTGTGTGTGTGTGTGTGTGTGTGTGTGTGTGTGTGTGTGTGTGTGTGTTTAACAAAATAACAGGAAATTATTATAAAGTTTTTATTATTATTAGTATTTTTTAGTTTTATTAAAAATTTTATATCTATAATTTATACATTGAATATATTATAGTATAATGTAAAATAACAAAAATAATCGTCGTATATATATATATTGTGTAACAAATATAATAAAAATATTTTATCTAACATTTTAAAAAAAGAAAAATTATAATATAAAAGCATAATTCATTAAAAAAATTATCCAGTTGACATTTATTTATTAGTATTTATAGAGTGCCTATTCATATATCACACAATTATCTATTATTATTATAATAATAAAATATATTTAGATATAATATGTTGATAATAATTTAATTATATTATGTATTTATTATTATTATTATTGTTATTATACATAATAATAATTTTTTTTGTGAAACTTTTTTTTTGAGAAAATACAATGTCATATAAACGCCCACTCATTGCAATGTCATTCAAAAAATAATATATATCATAATTAAGCTATTTTGTGAAATATAAATGATAACAACAATGTTTATTATTATTATTATTACATTAATAAATGTTACAATATAAAATATAAGTGCACTTAACTTAAACTTTCAATGAAAGTGACAGTTTTAATTTTTACTTAATTGACATAAAAAAATAAAATTTAGCTAGATTAATTTAGTTAATAAATCAAAAAAATTGATAACTTATTAAAATATGTTGCATGCATTTATGTATAAATGTTAAGTTAGTCTATTTACACGTTGATGTCTACAAAAATTAAAATTATCAAACAAAATATATGTTACTATTTTAATTAATTAACAATTTAAGTTAAAATTAAAATTATTAAAAATTATTAACTAGGTCAAAACCAAGTTTAGCGCATTATAGAAATAACTACAGTATTTAAGTCTACTTATAATAAATTTGTCCTAAATATAAAAATTTTCCATTATTTCAGTATTATTATAACAATAATATAAATTTACACTACTATAGACTACTATAGTGTGTATTAATCACAAATTTATATCTACACTAAATTCAAAACTAAGTATATTTGGATATTTTAAATGTTTCCTAAATTTTTTTGTTTAGTAGTAAAGTTTTAAACAATAATACAGTAAATACGATACACCATAAATAGTAATAGTGCCCAAAGTGTAACCAAAAATATATTATAAAACACTGTTATATAATTGAGTCGTTTCTGGGCTTTTTCAATGTTGCTGTCGTCCTCTTTGAGTAGATACCTTCGGGTCCCGAAATACAGGTTCCAGGCATAGTCTTTCCAATCTAGTCGGCGAACATCGGACGAGTAAAGCTGTTGGTCGTCATCGGACAGTCGGTCATAGATGTCAAAGTAGTTGCGATTGTCGAACACCCACTCCTTATTGGTAAAATGTTCCAATACTTCAAACGCCCGGTGCATCCGACTGGTCACTTTGGCCATTACTCGCTTATAGCCCAGTAGTGTCAACAGGGCATCGACAAAATAGGCAAACAATATGTGCGAAACAAATTTTGTAATGACATGATTTGCGTGACCAAGTTTGCCGAGTGTTCCCCGTCGCCAATGAGTTGGATTGTTGGCCAAAGGTCTGACCATTCGGATGGACGGAGCCTTTTGGGCCGCGAGTCGTGAATAATTCAAAAATCGGCCCCAAGTGACCGGGTTTACCGAACCGCTGGTCACATGTATGACTTGTTTCCGATCTGACGCACTGGTAGTGCCCGTATGCCATCCAATCACAATCAGGGCGTTGCATATGATGTCAACTAATATCATAAATAAAAATGTTTTGTTATTTTAGAAAATATATTTATATTGTTTAATACTGTATCTAATAATAAACAAAAAATAATTACCAGGAATTAAATCAGCTTTTGCTTCACAATTAACTAAATTAATAAAAAATTATTATTATAAGTATTATTGATTTAAATTATGTTTAGTATTGAAAACATACTGTCCATAGTGCGAGCAATTCCCAGTGCGCCTAACAGTAGTGCACCTGCGACACCATTGATATTATCTACCCATCCTATTGACAGTAATATATATTGTATTAAAAATAACTTTTAAAAATAATTTTGTTACGGTGTTTGCAATACCTGGTGCGGGCTCTTTGGCGGCCGGCGTAACAATCGATGGCCGAACGATAACAAGTGGTAAATGCGAAAACTTTTCGGTGACCAGATTTTCGGCAATCGCTTTGCTAAATGTATACGAATTGGGCCGACCCTCCATCAGCTCTTGCATGGCCTGGGATTCGGTATCAAAACCGATAGCATTGCCAATAGTATTGACTTTGAGTATTGTTTCCGATGAAGTTTGTTTCAACGGATATATACGCTCTTTGATCTCTTTTAGGCTACAATTGGCGTAAGCAGTGGACACATATATCAGTGCCTTTAAAAAATTGTTTTAAAAAAATTATTATTTTTTTTATTATTATTATATTGTTTGTAGACATACATACCTCAAGTTTAGTCATTTTATCGCACAATTGCATTACTCCTTGAGTTCCGTAAACATTTTGTACAATAAAATCGTTGATCGGGCCGTGAAATTTGACCGAAGCTGCCGAATGAAACACTACCGACACATTAGATATAAGTCGATCTCTGTCCTCATCGGACAGTCCGAGTCCAGGTTCGCTGACGTCGCCACTGATGGCCACTAGTTTGTCCGATTTCGAGCCATTATTATTAATGGTAAACGCTTTGGACAGTAGTATCTCATCGATTAACCGCTGCTGAGCTGTTTTGTTTGGCTTTGGCCGCAACAACACATATATGGTGTCGATCTCAGGACACGATCGGATCAATTTCTCGCACAAAACTTTGCCGATAAATCCGGTCCCACCCGTAACGAGTACCGACCGGTTACCGTAATATTGTCGTATCGGTGAATCCATTCACTACTGTATTTACTTATTGGTATTTTATTATTAATATTATTATTATTATATTATATTATTAATAAATAAAATGATTTTATATTATTAATAATAATATTATTTAAAAATTTAAAATAAAATAAAAATATTATTAGTATTAAAATAATGATGTTGAATAACTTATGTAACTTTTTTTATATAAGCAATATTTGAAATTAAAAAATTTTTGTTTTTATATTTATATTAACGAAAATAATGAAAACAATACAACAAAGTATTTGTTGAACAAGTTTTTAATAACTTTTATTATTTTAAAAACTTTTATTCATTTATTTTGTACATTCAATTAGTTATTGTATATGTTGTGGTTATTTTGAAATTGAGAGCTAACTAACTGTTAAGCACAGGGGGATTGATTGACCTCAACACTGGATCTCTCTCTCTCTCTCTCTCTCTCTCTCTCTCTCTCTCTCTCTCTCTCTCTCTCTCTCTCTCTCTCTCTCTCTCTCTATGTGTATGTATGTATGTGTGTGTGTGTGTGTGTGTGTGTGTGTGTGTGTGTGTGTGTGTGTGTATTTTTGAATATACTGTATCTAAGTCCGGATAAACCTTGATTTTTGAATGATTATGAATGAAGCGACAAAAACATTAGACACCATAGCTATAAAAATTTTTGTTTTATTTTCAAGTTTTTAGATAACAAGTTTGTTTTACAAAAATATTTTGTGTGACAAATTTCATTGATATAATATAAATGTAGACAATGATAATGATAGTAATAATAATAATAAGACATTTTTTAAATTGAACCGTACTTAATGTGCTAATTAAAGGTATTTTAAATAATACTGTGAAATATGTGAAACATTGAATCTTTATTATTGGTATTATTATTATTATTATTATTATTAATACCTATTAATAATAATCAAATTCATAGACATATTTGCGTTAATTATATATCGGATATCCTGACTGTTATTGTAGTATTTGTTGTCTTTATAGGTAAAATATATGTCACAAAAATTTAGTTAGATTTAAAAAAAAATAAATACATTTATTAAATGCATTTTGTTTACCTGTTTGTCTCAAGGCTGCAATTATTACAATCATTAGAAATGCAGTTTAAATTATTGAAAAAAATATGTAGATATAATTTTTTTTATTTTTAGTTTTTTTTATATAATTTATGATTTTCACTTTTTTTATTTTAAATGATTTTTTTAGATTGATATTACAAGTTACAAATTACTGTAATATGCAATTTTTTTTATTACGATTGATTAATATCATTTAATAACACGTGTACTTTAATTAATATACAAAAAAAATATCATGCAATTTCTCAAGTTATCATAATTAATGATCAAAAATTTATTAATATTAATTTTTAAAAAATAAATAATATAAACTTTTTAAAGATTTTTAAGAAAAAAATTGTTTCTATATAATTTTTTTGATAACAAATTTTTATTTATTTAATCTATTTATATTATAGACCATTAAAAAATAATATATTACAAAACAATAAGTTATATTATCTAATATATTTTGACGTTAACAATATCATCAATTAAAAGTCTAGTCATAATAAATATGATTTATATTGATATACGTATTTAATATCACTAGCCATTGCATTGAATTGAAGCCATAAATAGTTTTAATAATAAAAATGTATTTTTATATTAAATGTAATAATGGTATTATGGTTATTGAATATTAAAATTATTAAATTAATATTGTAATTTTTATTATTGCTAAAAAAATTACATAACAAGTAATTATTATAATTGTTGTGTTAAACAATATATAAAGTTTTATATTAGCTATAGTATTGTATTAATGGATTCACATGAGTTATTCACCACAAAATAAAACAAACTTAAAGGTTAACATTTGAAGGTCTATCCGGACAACAAACCTTATTTTTATCAATTTTGTTGTTGTAATAAACATTATTAATAAATGTATTATTTGTTGTCAACAATAAAAGGTTAATTTCTTAATATTATTTTTTAAAATTTCAACAAATTTGGAGAATAATTATTAAATAATTCTTTATTAAAAAAATAAAATATTATAGTTTGTATTATATTTGATATATGTTTCTGTTTCAGTACTCTCTCTCTCTCTCTCTCTCTCTCTCTCTATATATATATATATATATATATAAAATTATATATATATATATTTGTTTGTCTCTAATTTATTAATATGTTGTTAATTATTACATTTATAAATAAATATTTTAATTAAGTACAAATTACAAATTAAATACCTTATTTTTTATACTATATTACTAAACAGTTACTATTTATAAAAAAACATATTAATATAAAATTTTATATTTTAATTAACATTGAATAGTTTTAAAAAAACAGTTAGAAAACATAAAATTTTATTAGTAGATTTGTTTTTATTTGTAAAAATTATAGTTATTTTATTTATTTAATTTTATTCTGAAATTGATATAGTATTTTATTAATAGTTTGTATTAATATTATTTATAATTATATTTTAAAAGTAATATTGTTTCTTTTGTATATAATTTTAAAAGATTTATATTTTTCATATCATACAAAAATGATATATTTTTAATAGCTATTGAAATTGTACTTTAATTTTAATAAAATAGAAAATCTATTAATAAATATAAAGCACACAAATAAAAGAGTTTTTAATAAAAAATGTATATATATTTTCAAAAAATAAAAGCATTTTTAAAAAACTTATTAAACAACAATAAAATAAAGTTTTTATATTATATTTACTATATTTATATTTTGCTATTCAAGTGGATATTCATAGACAGACAGACASACACACACACACACACACACACACACACACACACACACACACACACACACACACACACACACACACACACACACACACACACACACWAATWCAACTCAAAAATATCATCAAAATTGATAGAAAAGAAAATGTATTTAACTTGAATTTTGATATTATACTGTATATAAATTATTTAATATTTGTAAAAAAACTTATGTCAATTCTAATAATAAAATACTCATCTATTTAAGCATTTCATTTATAATACATAGATTTTATTAAAATATAAAGTGTTTGTAAAGTGTCTCAAGTATTGAAAGTTTGAAATTGAGAAATATTTCATTCATTGATAAATATTGTAATATACTTATTATTATTATTATTACTATTATTATTACTATTATTATTACTATTATCATTATTGTCTGGTATGTAATGAATCTTTATACTAATGGCTCAGACAACTCGACAGCCAATAATAACTCATTCATAAATATTAGAGACATACATACATACATACATACCTTTCCATTGGGAAACAATCATATATAAAAAAAGTATATGGACTATAAATTTCCATTTTTATTATCTACTACTATAGTGTCTAAAACATGTCAATAGTGAAAATTGTATGTATGTGTGTGTGTCGGTGCCATTGAACCCACACAACCATACCTTACCCGTTATAATAATATGATCTAAACTAATTGAGAAAGCAGTAAATATTATCATCAAAAAAACATGTTGTATGAATCGTTGTGTTGTTTCTTGAAAAAAAACTAATGGCATACTTTGCTTTTGTATGACATTTTGCGATTGTTGTTGTTGTTGTGCACCGACACCTCTCATACGGCCTAACGATTTATTTAGGAAATCGTTACCACTTTTAATGATCGTATAGAGTCTGTAGTAAAATAAGTTTAGTACAGTATATACTGTATATACAAATTGAATTGTTATAGTATTAAACAGTATATAAAGGATGATTATATAAAATGGACATTAAATTCTGGCTTTAATTACAATATACTCCAAAACACATATACATCACATATTAATATATCATATTAATTCAATTAACAAACTTTACAATTTTATATAAACTAGTAGTAATCTATAAGTAATATTACATGCAATTTACAAATAAATAAACAAATAAACAGTAATGATTATTATTATTATTATTATAGCTAAAATAATAATTTAATATCTATATAGCAAATATAAGTTACCTAATAAGATTAACAATAAAATGTATATTTGTTGTTATTGAATAATGATGTTATTAATAATATATTTATCACATTATAATAATCATAGTAAAAATATTTTTGTTTTCATAAATTAATTCAATTGCTTAAATAATAAACTTGTGTTTATATGGAAAATAACTATAGTAAATATCAATTGAACTGTATTTTTTATTAGTGAACAAACATAAATTTATATGAGATAATCAACAAAACATTGTTATATCATATTTATATATACAATATATATCTACTATATATATATGACTCTGCTGTTCATTACTCCCACTATTTTCCTTTACTTAATGTATAAATAATAACACTATATGTATAATCATAAATAATGATAAATAAAAAATCATACATCAGATTAATCTGTTTGTTAATCAAATGATTGATTGCGTTCAGTCATCAAACACACACACACAGTAGTGGAAATCTTTATCATTAAATTATATTTATGTGTATAATACTGTATAATATAGTAATAAAGTAATATATTATATATATATAATATTTAATACACATAACTAAATCAAATATCAGATCAAATAGATAGCGGACACCCTTTCAATGTGTGTTTACATTTAATCTTATAGATCAAGAATATTCTGTGTGTGTATGTCTGCAAATGAATGAATAGGGAAGTTATTTGATGGGTTGTTTCGCGCGGGTCATTCACATCCCGGTGCCAGAGATTTTATCGTTCATTCAAGTGTCATAGACTATAGTAGTAGTAGTAGTAGTAGTAGTAGTAGTAGTAGTAGTAGTAGTAGTAGTAGTAGTAGTAGTAGTTGGTGGTAATGATAGTCATTGTACAGTATTGTAGACTTAAGCAATCTGAATATCATATATTAATATAAAAAAAGAGTTAATCAATAAGGATATACACTATAGTATAGTGACTATACAATAGCCCATACAGTATACCCAAACAACAACAAAAGCGATAACAATGACATTCACTACTAAACAATTCAAACTATAGTATAGTATAATATTAATATTGATTACTATAGAAATTCCTTATGACTCTTGTATAACGATTGAGGATATGAACCGTAAATGGCATTACTTTTAATATATATTTTTATTGTACTATTATTGATGTATATTATGGTCATTATAGCTATATATTTTGGACATCAATTCAGATGAGCTGTCTATTGACTACTTCCTTAAAGTCGGTAGTCTTTAGTATATGGAGGCAATGATCTCTGACTTAAGAGACGCTGAACTCTCTCTCTCTCTCTCTCTCTCTCTCTCTCTCTCAATGAAAAAATAAAGCAAAAGTCATACAAAATTTATTCCTCTTTATATCACAAGAATATTCTTCACTATATATATTATATGAGAATTTTCATTTAAGATTCTTTACCCTCTAATGTCATTGATATATATATTAGATAAGAAAAATTTATATAAATAAAAAACTTAATTTATAATAGTATGCATTTGAAGGGTTTCTTATAGTATATAAACTCTGTTATAATATTAATGGCTATTAATAGTAAATAATAATTTAATTATTATTATTATTTTGGAGTACAAGTGTTGTGCAAACTGATTATCACTATATATTAATAGTATAAACAAAAACAGTTTTCAACTAAAATAAATAAACAAAAAATATGTTCAGTCATCTTAATGGATATTTTTAGATCATTAAGAAAGTTATTGAGAAATATTGTGATTTTATTTTTTGTTTCATTAATATTTTAATACAATATGACAGTGTATAATGGCATCAAAATAAATAATCTTTTTTTAGTTTTTACAATATATAGTATATCAACTTATATATAAAATATGACAGTAAGTACTGCTGCACTTTACATCATATTTAATATTATAAGTTATATTATTATTATTATTATTATTATTATTATTATTATTATTATTATTATTATTATTATTATTATTATTATTATTATTATTATTATTATTATTATTACCGTACTTTATATAACTTTATAATAAAATATTTATAACTGGATCTAATAAAATATTCAAATATTTACTCATATCTTATTATTATAATATTAAATAACATATAAATAGACAGAATATATTATATATAGATATACAATGTATATTATACACCCTCACACACACATATCGTTTTTTGTTTATTCATTAATAAGGATATAAAAATTTATTTATAACCTATGGATATAAAGCTTATTAAAATTGATAATATAAATTTTATGATAAAATATATAAAACAAATTTAGTTTATATATAATTCAATATACAGTAATACACACACACACACACACACAAATTTTATTTAAGTAATTAATTTTAATTTTGCCAGCATTTATATTTTTGTATACAATATTTCATGAGTAAAATTAAAATTATTGATAGACTAAAAAAATTAATTGAAAATTTGAAATGAAAAATATAGTGTCATAGAAAAACAAAACAAGTGGTAATTAATACTAAAATAATAGACTAATATGTGGGCGATATTTATCATAAAATAATTAAATTGAGTAACCCTTAAATAAATTATATATAAATATATGGTTACCAATAACACTAATTAATAAAATTGTTGTGTAATATATTTTATTTGAAGTTAAATAATAGGTTTTTATACCGTATCAGATTACACAGTTTTACAGATTTTATATTATTATATTATAATCATTATTATTATGGCTTTAAAATTATTTAACTAGAAATCGTTAACATTTTTGAATAATAATCATTTTAGAGTTTTTTATATTATATGTTTGACTAAATTTAATTAATTAAATTTCAATACATTACTAATATAATAGACAGTTTGCTATGAATTTTATTTAGTAGTGATTATCACAACACTATTACTATCAATGTATAAACAAAATGCAATTATCATATTAATAGATATCATTTATATGATTCAATTACTATCGATAGCTAACTACTAAAAACATTTATAGGCATTTATAGTACAATAATTGCATATATTAATATAATTATATCTTATTTACATACATAGTGTATATTTTTGTTTTCTACCAATAATTGCTATAATGTGTTGAAATTTAGTGAATAAATAGTGTTTTTCTGTGAAATTACTAAACATTTATTTTGAGAGAAACACAAAAAATTTATTACTTGTTTTTCTTCATTTGATAAGAGCTTAAATGTTTTGTAGCGATAATACAATGCATACAAAATCATTATTATATTATTGATATACATGTATAATAAATAAATAAATAAAAATGTTTTTGTATACAAAATACATACACACATACACATAGTGATAGATATTATAATCTAAAATAATTAATTAAATAAAAATAACAACACAACTCATTAATTTGAGTAATAAAGCAATTTTTATTTGTATATATTTTTGTTCAGTCAAAAAACCGAAGTAAATAAATAATACATTTAAATTTTATTTAGTTTTTTTAAACATTTTTTCTACTATTATTTTTTTTATATAATAATAATAATTACAGTATTATTATTATTATTATTAGTATTATTATTGTTATTAATATAAACACATATAATTAATGACAAATTAATCTATTGATTATTTTCCAGAGATTGAGAGTATTGTATATAACATAAAATAAATAATATTTTTTTACATTGTATTTTGTTTTATATTATATATACATACACTCTCTCTAACAATAATGTTGTGTAATGTATTGTTGTTATATGTAATGTTATATGTATAATGTATATAATGATTTTTATTTTTTATTTTTTTGATTTATTATTTTATTGGAAAATTTTACTACTAAAATAATTAATAATATGGTGTTTATGTCTCTATACAGATGTTTTTTCAATTTAAATATTAATTAAATCAGATAATAATTAATTGGTTTATCTTCTTTTTTTTGTTTTGTCTAAAAACTAAAATCCAATTGATTTATTTAATAAGATTTATATATATATATACTGTATATCTATATATCATATATCGATGTATATAAGTTACTGTATATGAATAAAGTATGAGAGTATAGGGGAGATAAAAATGGTAACGAAGTTAAAAGATATACAGATGAGACTTCAAAAGTTTGTTTTTGAAATTTATTATAAATGAAACTTTCAATCGATGTCCAAACACTTTGTTTTTTACATTACATATATATATATAGATATATATATTTTTAACATATATTTCTTATCGATGTCCCAATTGACGGCATATATATCAATATATATATATATATAAAACCAACACAAATATCACTTGAGAGTGCGGGGTCATTGAAATTAACTCCATGAGCTCCCGGGAATGATAATGGGCTTATTATGATACGGCACAGCTGTTTCTTTTAGGCATTCTCTTATCTTTGACAGTCGGACTAATGGGACACTCGGGCAATGAGCTCCGTCGTGGTTTGCCATTGGCAATGGCCGGTCCGACATCGTAAGGCACTCTCGCCTGAATCATCAGCTCCTGAAATATTTTAACGACATTCTGGTTCTCTTTGGCCGAACATTCCACATAACCGTTCTCCCAGTCCAGACATATGACACTTTCAGCCACTTCCTAGAAATTTTTCAAATGAGAGAGAGAGTAAACAATTGATTAATTATGTTATCATTTTTTTGGTGGGTTTTTTTGGTGGTTAACAATAAAAACAATAATAATAATAATTGTTATCATATCAAATGTCATATAGAAAGTCTGGGATTTTTTGTGTGTGTATTTTGTATATTTTGTTATGTTTTATTAGATCCCATTTATTATTATTAAGATATGATTGAATATGATATTGAAATGTCTAGAAATAAGTGAAATGAGATATCATATATTCAATAGATAGATATRTAAAAAAAATCAAATTATATATATATATATAAACACATTTTTTCTATTATATAAGTTTAATATAATATTATATTAAATTATATAATTTATATACTGGTAATAAAAATTATAAGTAAAAAATGTTGATTATTAAAATAAATATTTTAATAATAAATCAATAATTTTTTAATGTGTTTATTTAGGTGAGATAATCAATTAAGCAAAATATTATTGATTAGCTATTATTAATATGCAAATCAAATAACAATTTTTAATACATTTATATTTAGTAATCGACTTCAAAATTGCTTGAAGACATTCACTATGTATTACAGAGATATATATCTATAAATAAATTATTTTCATTTTTATTAATGCCCCGGGTCACTTGTGTTAGTTCATTAAAAACACTCAAACTATAAATATATTTATTAAGAAAAAAATCAATACATATGTATACTGTATGTATATTATAATTTAATAATTTCAGATAAAATATTGATAAATTTTGTCAAATATTTTAGTTGTTGTAGATATGTTTGCTTAGTTTGATATATCTGTTTTAAAAAAAATAATTAAATAAAACTAATTTTTTTATTGTCTATTGAGTAGCAATTTAATTGAAAAGTTGAGTGGTTATTCAATAATATATATTTCAACTGTATTTGACATTGTATTCAACATTGTATTGATATTTAATATTATATTATTATGACAATTTTTAATTAAAATCTATCCAATATGCTATATTTTATACCTACAGTAATATCAGTAATATATCCTACTATAAATTTAGTACAATAATAGTACAGTAATATTGAAGCAAAATAATATCAACCAAATAATAATTAAAAGTTTTCCACACATAATATAATATCGTTAGAAATTTATTCATCAAAAATAATTCAATGATAATTTAATTACTGGAATATTTATAATTCTATGGTTCGTTGAACAATATATACATATATGTATATATATATATATATATATATATATATATATATATATATATATATATATATATATATATATACTGTATATGAAAGTTGTATTACTTTATAAATACAGTTTATATAATACAGTAACTCATATACTCTAATAATCTATTGAACGTTGAACTAGTAGTTATCTGTCCTAACTGTCCACTACTAGTMACTTAAAAGAGCTTATTATTTTTAAAAAAATAAACAAAAAAATATCATTATATAGACAGTATGCCTATTTATTAACTATGAAATTTCGTATTTTTAAAAAAAATATTAAATATATATACAAACAAAATAAAGCCTTATATAAAAAAGTCATTGTTTGATAATTTGAAATGCATTGACATTTTTGGCATTCAATTCAGTTTTCAACTTAAATAACAACAAAAAACTAAGTTTTTAATTCAATTCAATGTCGTGAACATTGAATATAAAAATTATTTGTATAAAAAAATAAACTAAAATAAAATATTTAAAAAAATATGTGGAAAAACTTCTAAACAAACGAGTGAATCATTTCAAGTGATGAATACAATAGAGACTGAGAGTAAAAAATCAAATGAAATATTACTATTGATTAGAAATAGAAAAAGTGAATTAAATAAAAATAAAATAATAATAATAAGAAAGTTTGGGAAACAATTGTTAAAGAAATTGTTAACAATTGTTTAGAACAAGAGATTACATACAATATACTGTATATAATATTTAAGTCAATGGAGTATACAATAAAAATCAATTATTATTAAGAAATAGTTTGAAAATACTAGCAATCAATAAGTATATAATATATATATATATAAGTTGAAGGACAGTGAGATTAAAAATGGATAAAAGTAGTGAAATAATAATACCTTTCTTATGACTCTTTTATCGTCGAAATCACATTTATTGCCGACAACACAGATGGGTATCATTGGTTGGTTATCATTGTTGTCCGTCGACTTCAACTCGAGAATCAGTTCCCGAAGACGTCTAACTTCTTCAAACGTTTCGTAGTCGTCGAGTGAGAAGACAAGTATGAATGCGTCGCCCGATTTGATGGCCAACTGTCTCATCGCTGGGAACTCATACGAACCGCTGGTGTCCAATATGTCTAACGTTAGTGAACCTAATAATAATCAATTGAAAAAAATAAGGGATTAGTAGGTTATTAATATTATTTAAATAATATAATTAATTGAAAAACATAGACAAATAGAGAAAAAAGTCAAATTTATATATATATAAGTTATTTACATTAAAAGTTTGTTATACAGTATTATTATTACTTTTTATCGCTTAAAGTTAATACTGACGTCAAATTTTATTGTTGTTATTACTAAATAGTAAATATTTAAATAGTAAAGTACTGTATATTTAAATTAATTTGTATTTCACGAAAAATGTCTGAAAGGTTTGCAATATAAAAAAAACTATTTATCATTGAACTGAAAAAATTAAAACAATTAAAATAAAAAGTCTCTTAATTTATTTCATTAATGTATTTACCTCTGTATAGAAAAATTCAAAATAAAATTAATAGTTTTATACAGTTTTGTTTCTCTCTATAAGTTAATTAATTAATGATATTTCAATTTACAGTATATATATAAATAGATTCTTTTTATAAATTTAAGTCTAACTTCAAAATCAAGTTTATGTTTATTTAGTATAATATATTATAACTACTTATATGGCTTTTTATAGATTAGATTAAATTAAATAAATATTTTAATTTAAAAAAAATTGATGACATACCTGTGCCGCGCACCTGATATTCGGCTCTATATAACTGTTCGACAGTTGCCGAGTGAAGTACTGGGAAGGCGTCGTAAAGGAATTGTTCGACAATTGCCGTTTTGCCGACTTTGGCCGCACCCAACACCACTACCCGACAGTGTAGGTTTACCCGCTGATGGCCGTCCAGACTGGACACCAAAGTGCCCAATCGGGGCATTTGCGATATATGCTGTTGTGGCATATCTAACGATTTCCAATTATGCTATAATATTATAATATTCAAATTGAAAAAATTTATTAATTTTTTTTATTATTATCAAATCAACAAATTAATTATATTGTATATTAATATTTCTATAAAAAAGCGTAAATAATATAATAATTTACTGTATTTGGTAATAATAATAATAATAAATAAAAAAAATAATGGCTTATTTTTATTGAAAACAACGAAACTAAAAATAATATAATAAAGTTTTAGGAAATACATTAATGTTTATCTATTTTTTTTAGTTCAAAACATATTTACAATACATTAATCCCATATGTTTTATTTTGTTAATGTAAACGTTTATTATTTACTAAAAATATGCTAATTATATCAATTTTATAATAAAAAATATTGTTTTTTTTATCTGACAATGCTGTCAGTAAAACTAAATATTATTTTATACTATATATAAAATTACATAATTAAATCATTAAATAAAAATAAATATTTTTGAAAGTGTTTTTTTAGATTTTGTATTATATTTAGTATAATAGATAATAGTATCTGTATATTAAAATAATATTTTATAATAACAAGTTAATATATTTACATAATCTAGTATTTGTATAACTTATAAATAAAAATAAACTAAATTTAATTTAATAATTTTTTATTGAATATTTTATTTTAAAAAAATAACAAATGTAAGACTAGAATATCGATAAACAGAAAAATACTGAAATGACAAAAAATAACAAAAAATGACAAAAAATGACAAAAAATGTTTAAAAATATTTTTTGTTTACTTTTTCATCCAATAAATGTCTAAATTTAAAATCGATAATACAGTTTATTTGGTGACACTGAAAGTCATACAACAAATTGAAAACAATTTGACACACATTTTTTTGTTGATTGTAATGGAAAATAAAAAAAATAAATAAAAAACATAAATCCCACACCTAATAATAATAATAATAATAATACACAGAAATTTAGTTTTTCTTCAATTTTCTTGTTTATTGTAGTTTTGAAATAAAATAACCTCAAAAAAAATAAATCCAATATATTTGGCTTTACTTAATGATAAAGTTTTCTGTGCGCTATTGATATCTATTGATTGTTTTTTTCCTATGATTTATAATACAACCATTATTTACATCACTCGAAAAAATATATTCAATATATTAAATAAGTTATAAAATGAATTATTGGATAAAATTGGTTTTTTTTAAATATCTCAATTGTTAGTCATTAGAAGATACTATCTATAAATCTTATATTAAAATTATTCAAACATTATTAATATCCACAACAACAACAAAATGAAATAATGTTTACCATTAGTTTCACATAAACGACTTTAATGGTTATCTCTTTCTCTCATTGAATGTAAAGTCTTTACAGTATATATGTATAAATGTATGTATGTGTGTGTGTGTGTGTGTGTGTGTGTGTWTGTGTGTGTGTKTGTGTTATGGCAATACAAACTTAATAAAAAACTATATTATTCAAGTAAACATTTTCTTTAAAAAAATATATTTTACTTATGTTATACTATAAAAATTATAGAAAACAATTTGTTGTTATATAAAAAATACGATATTTTGTAACTGTTTTTAACTTTACAAATATATATATTGCTGACTTTGATACATAATCTCTAAAAAACACAATGACATTGGTGTATCTAATGTTAACAATTTTAAAGTAATACTCAATACTATATATAATAGTTGCTGTTTTTGATTGTTACCAAAATTGGGTCACTTTTTTCAATTACTGGACAACAGCTTACAAAACAGATTTTTTATTATACAAAATACTTTATATTCAATATATATATACAAGATATATAACAATAGTCTAACAATTGTATATATTGTAGTATAGTATATAATATATAATATAATACAGTATATAATATATAGTATAGTACTTTATATACATAATATAAACAATTTATATTGTATATTAGCTAATTTTAGATCCATTAATATAAGTATGAAATCATAAAACCATTTATTAGAACAATAGTTTATATTAATATATAAATTCCAATTAATTATATATAAATATAAAACTATACTAATTCTAAGAATATTCTGTACGCAATTTTGTGAGATTTAGGGCAACATTTATTTTACAGAAAAAACAYATATATATATATATATATATTGTAATAATTAAACTTCTAGTTTATTACTATATTTGAGAAAAAGTTAATTTAGTTTTTTGACGCCAAAATTATAAGTTGAAATAATTATAATTAGAAAGTTTTTTTTGTTTGGCAACAAAAATAACAGTTTATATGTCATTATGAGTTATTGTTACCATTAAATATTAAATTGAGATCTCAAGTGTTTTAATTATTGTATGAAAAATTTATTATTACATAAAAAAATAATAAATATTAAAACCACTTGAAGTTAACTGTAACAATTATTATGAAAAAACATATGTAATTATTTGTCTAATATGTCTAATTATTTATTTATTATATTTATAAAAAAAATTACAAATTATAACTGTTATAAATATTTATAGTTATTTGGATAACCTATGTCCTTAATTAGCTAGTTTTAATAGTAAATGTTGTACAATATGTTTATTATTTATTATTTTCCAGAAATTTGTTTTTAATTATTATTTTCTAAATAATTACATATTATAATAAATAATTTTAACGTTTAATATATAATCATTTGATTTATTAAATATAAATTTTCAAAAATACTATATAATATACAATATATTAATTGATATGTCATGTTTTTAATTATTTATTTATTTTATTAAATATATTATGTCATTAATATTAAATGTAATTATAACCAATATTTATATACTTGTTTTCTTTATTATTATATTTGCAAAACAAAGTAAATAAATAAATAATTTTATTTATATGATTGCTGAATATGTAAATTAATAACATAAAAAACAATTACACATGTAATTGATATTAATGTATATTAATAACTATTTTATTCAGCATTTCTTTTTATTAGACCTATAAATTCTAATATATTTTTTAATTTAATTAGTATTACTATATTATACTAAAGTCATAAAAATAATTTATGCTAAACACTTGTTTTAAAACTGTTAAAAAATAATATATATAGTATTAATATATATATTCTAATATTATCTAATTTGATTTGATTGATGAGTCTTTTTATAAAACATTATTATAATAATAAATATAAAACTATATTTACTTAAATTATTTTATCATTTCAACACAACTAATAATAAAAAGCGTTGTGAAATAAAAAAAATAGTAAATTGAGGGTCAACTTAGAGAGCAATATCTATATATTATAGTATAGTATATCTCAATATAGAGTATATAATATATAATGTTTGCTTAAATAATGTCTTATATTACACATTAAAATAAACAGTAAAAACTTGTTAAATAAATGTTTGCACACGAATGTCATAAAAATTAGTGTTTCCAAATCTAGTTGGAACCGGTAGGACTAAAACTGTAATGTCCATTTCATACATTTATATACCTGAGCTGATTTATATCACATAGTAACAGTAAAAATATATACTAGTATATGACCAAATAAATTTATATATATATATAAATAAATGCAATATACAGTATCTAATTTATTTGCTCAATTTTAACCAATTATATATTCATAACACAGTTATACTATGTTAATGTATAGTGTATTCTTTATAACTATATATACATATAATATATATATTTCTATATATATTAAATATTTCATTACATCCTGAGCTACAAATTGCTTTACCAGAGTTGTATCCCTGAGCAACAACTGCTCACTGCATTTTAGGCATAGTTATGCTATTTGTTAACAGTTATAATAATAATAATAATTTATAAGATTTTAGCATTCATTGCATTACAATTAATTCAATGTATAGATACTGTATTATCTAGGCTTTGACATTGAAATTCTTTATTTTTACAGAATATTCTCCAAGTAATGGACATATTTTTTTGTCTAATTTTATTTAATATTAATAAATAATCAGTTTTATGAAAAATTCTCTTAAAATAAAATAAAAGTCCAATTATTATCAATAATAGACTTTTATTTTATTTTTTTATTAACAACGCGCGAGTAGGAGTTATATAATTATAATAACTTATAGCATCATTGATGTGTATGTAATTAGATAATAATTGTTTTAAAATAATTATATAACAGTTTTTTTGCTCATCAAATATTTGTTAATTTATTTTTATATATAAATTTTATATAATTTATATAAAGATAACTAATTTATCTCATTATTATAGAGTTTGCGAGGGTTGACAATAGTAGTTAAATATGTGTGGGAAATAGTTATGTAATTACAGAAAACATTAAAGAAATAATAACTCATGATTTTAGTCACACTTTTTGTGTGAAATTATATTATGATTTAKAAAATATATATAACTATATATAATACATATATATAATATAAAAATTTATATTATAATGAGATAAGTTAACAGTAATAAATTATTAAATAAAAAAAGTATAAAATGTCAATTTTGACAATAAGTTTAATTTAAGATTATAATAAATTATTGACCTATCAGATATAATGAAATAAAAATAATTTATAATTTGAAACTATAAAATATATTTTAATAAAATTTTTATTTAAATAATAATATAATAATATATCTAGTCAGTATTTAGTTCAATAATTTATAAAGTTATAACTAAAAAAACAATAAAATTTAGATAATACATTAAATATATTGTATTAAAATTTAAAAATATTTTAATCTAATCATTATTTTTTTAGTTTAAATATATATATATAGATTAAATACAAAAAATTTAATAATATCTATAAATATTAAAGCATTTTATTTAATATAAATATTTTATTTAATATTTTATTTAAGTATATTGTAATAACAATAATAAATATATTAAAATTTAATAACATTTTTAGCTACAAATGATCTATTAAATTTTATTATTATATAATATAAAATATTATTTCATTTAAAAAATCTTCTAAATTTTTGCGTTTTTATTCAAACTATTATATATAATACTACATAAATATTAACTAAAAAACGTTACTTTTTATTAATTAAAAAAAATATTTTATTAAAACTTTTAAAACAAAAAAACTTGTAGAAAATATCTAAAATCTAAGTTTAAAAAATTAAATAAACTTAAAAAAGCTACAAAATATATATTAAAAATAAAATAGATTTATTTGCACAAAAAATCAAAAACTTTCAGTTAATCAATTCAAACATCTATTATTATTATTATGCAAATTATTTAATATTAAAAGACAAATACATACATAAAAAATTTTGTTAAATTAAAAGCTACGCTAAACTATAAGCAAATAAAAAACTTAGTTAATTAATTTGCACGAATAACAATGTTAACAATTACATGAATGTAATTTTAATAAAACTAATTAATGCAAATGCATATACAGTACTATAGTATAACAAAATAAATATGCATAAAACATACCCAATGTAGTAATGTTTGAATGTTTGATGAGATAGCAATTATGATGAGTTAATTTTTGCAGTGTTTGAATTTGGTTTTTGGCTACCAGTGCCCGCTCTTCAATTGTTATATACTGTATACTGAACTTGAACTTGAATGCAGTATATTATATATATAGTCGTATACACACTCATAGAGAAAGTGAGAGATAGAGTTAAAGTGAATATTCTTGAATTTTTCTATGAAATGTATGGAATGACTGTTTAAGCGAGGAATGGCATTGATAACTACTGAGCGCACAGTTATATACCAGTCCTCTATGCCTATCAACATAACAGAGTCACTCTCAGTACTGATAGTATATTGGATGCTGCGCTTACTGGTTACTGATAGTTATAAACTACATTAYACACACACACACACACACACACACACACACACACACACACACACACACACACACACACACACACACACACACACACATTACTATTGATTTGAATTATTTTTTTCTAATAATTAAATAGCAATAATATTCAAATGCAATAATTAATTAGAATAGTTTAATATAATATTCAAATTAGTAGTAACAGTGCATTGAATTAATTGCATAGATTTTTATTATTATTGCATATTAATGACATATTGCATATCATATATACAATCTGTACACTGTATATAAAATGATATTGTATAAACTTAGATGTATATCTAATATTGTTTTTTTCTTTTCTATGTAATGCAAGTTTTTTTTATAAGGGCTCACCACCAGTGGATAATACTGTCTTTATGAGTATAGTTAAAGACAGTTAAAGGTAAGAGAGTCAAACACCTGTGCGATCTGATAGGTAATTCTGATAAGTAAAGTAAAATCGTCTCCAGTCGTCTGCAATACATTGATAGTCAAAAACTGTATTTATTAGGAAATCAATAGTAATAGTAGTAATAGTGTTATATTGGATAAGTTGTTTAAGCTAACGGCAATCATTGAATAGGTAGCTGACGGCTATATGTGTTGTCTATTATATATATATAAGACTAACACATACACACAACGAGAGATTAATTTTATTTGATAAAACAAAACAAAACAAAAATACAATAAAATTCATGAATATAATTTGTGAACTGTTATTATTTATTTTTTTTGAGTATTATTTTTAGGATTATATAATTTATATACAGTATAGTTAGGAGATATGTTTGTCTTAATATGTGTACAGTATATGATCTACAGAGTGATTATTATGACACTGTATTTGTATTTATCGACATTAATAAGTAAATATACTGATATAACAATAAGTATTAATACTTAATAGGGTTTATTTTAGTTTATTTGTACACAACGTAAAGATATTATTATATAAATGAAAGTAAAAAATCAATTATTATTATTATTGTTACTATTTTATTATTATATAATATATGATATAAGATATTGAATAATAAATTCAATAGCAATTTTTATAGTGAAATATAATAATTATACAATATTTAGTGCAAAATTATACAATATTTAATAACCAGTTATTTTTTTAATTAAATTGCAATTTACAAATTATTTATGACATTTATATTATTATTATTATTATTATTAAATTAATGAACGCATATTTATATTGTAGTTAAATATTTTTGTCATATAATTAGTGATTTTTATTATTGTGTTTACTATTTGTGCTTAAAAAAAGTCACAATCAATTATTTAATATATTATATATAACTATCAAATAGTAAACAACACAATTTAAAATGTCGAAAATTGTTAAACTAATTAATTGATTTTATTATATATGACAATAAATTGTATAAAACTTTATATTGTCTAATACTTTGAGACAGATTAATAACAATTATATACAAAATATATTTTTATTGAAAGATAAACATAATGTTTATATATAYAGAAAATAAACAACAACAAAAATATATAAATAATAGTATATTTTTTATAATAATCAGAGAAATGCACAATTGTTATCATTATTTTTTAGTAAAATTAATGAAATTATAAATTATATTTAATATTATTTTTAAATATTGTATATAATTTATAGAAAACATTAATTTTTGTTAATCGTTAAATTGTAAACAATATTATGTGTTATATCTATCAAATCTAAATTTCGTAAATATATATATATATATATATATATATATAGACACATAATAATTAAGTTTAATGAAACCAATTTTTGTATGTTTGTCATAATATGTAGTATTTTTGTTGTTGTTATTATTATTAACTGCAATAGTTTGCCTAAAAATTTAGGTTAAATCAAGTTTTTTTAACAATGATAGACACATACAAACACAAACACATTTATCAATAAATTAAACTAATTATTTAGATCAATAAAAAAACTCTTTAACTACTAAAATTGAATTTGATAATTGAATAAAATAATTAATATAACATTTAACAGTTTTAGACTACAAGATTTATTTATATTGCAAAGTTATACTAATTGTTAAAATATACAGTATATATATATATATATATATATATATATATATACTTATAATCTATTTTTCATAATAACAATTATGATTATAATTTATTAGTTTATTTATCAAGAATTATTATTTAAATATGGTTTTAACAAATAATTAGGTCATAAAAATACAAAAATACACACAAAACTACTATTGCTATCAAATTATATTTTTATTTAAACATTATATTATAAAACAAAACTTAACATATATATATATATATTACTCTGTATATATATATATATATATAWATAAAATAATAATTATTTTATCAGATTTATGAATAATTTAAATTAAATTTACTATTCAAAAAGATAAGGAAAAATAGAAATAAAAACTGATATTTAAATTGCAGAATATTCTTGAAATTAAAAAAATAAAATAAATAATAATTTGTTGGAATTTTTATTTTTGAAGTCAATAATATTAATATGTAAAAAACTTAAATTAAAACAAAATTATAAAAATTAAAATAAAGAAAACCCCAATATAACAAAAATAAAGTTTTTACAAATATTTTATAAAATTTAATTTTATATAAGTAATAAAATTATACATTGTATAACACAGTTTAAAAACTTTTCAATAATAAAATAAAATTTATGTTTATTATGAATTATGTTTACTGTATAGTTATTGATGCAATGACCATGATAAATTATTTACATTTAATAGATTAAAATATAACATATAATATAAAAGTTATATGATTTAAATATTTTAACATTTTAAAATCAAATTCTTATATTTACTTTAATATTAATGTTAATAATAATACTAATAATAATAGTTAAATATATTTATTTATAAATACAGTTATTTTAAATTGTACTGTACAAACAATGTCAATGATTTATTTTATTGATTTTATAATAACATTAAAAAAACTTTAAGCTCAAGAATTATTTGTCTATAATATATTATTACTATCAATAAAATCAACAAAATTATAATTATCTATAAATCTTATATTAAAATTATTCAAACCTTATTAATATCCACAACAACAACAAAATGAAATAGTGTTTACCATTAGTTTCACATAAATGACTTTAATGGTTATCTCTTTCTTTCATTGAATGTATGTACAGTATAAATGTGTTTATGTGTAGTATAAATGTGTGTTCATATATGTGTATATGTGTGTGTATGTGTGTGTGTGTGTGTGTGTGTGTGTGTGTGTGTGTKTGTGGATTGATAGATATGATAAAAGATAAGCCCTATGTTTTTGACAAAACACAAAATGCTTGTTATAATTGATGACTTGTTATCTTTATTGTTATGTGTTTATACTATAGTATACAGTAATGTACGTATATATATATATATATATATATATATMTATACTATTATACAATGTACAACATATAAACATCAAATGTGTGTATTGATGATAGACATTGAACGAAGCGGAAAGTATTGTGAAATTTATCGATAATATTGATAAAATCATAATAATATTATTATTATATCTTATATTATACTGTATTTATATAAAGCTATAACAATAACAAGAAAAAAATCTGTGACCACAAATACTGTATTTATTAATATTAATATTATTATCATTATATCCTTCAAATAATAATATTGATACTAACTATAAAAAGTATGGTGTGTCCCAATAATAATAAAAAATAATAATAATAATACTTTTATACTGAAACAAATAATAATAAACAAATAGATTATTATTGTATCACTTTTTTCTCTTTTATATTCAAATCACAAAAAATTCTCAGAAACTTATATTTCTGAATACTATTTAATTTTATCATAAATTAAATCTTTAGTAGTAGTTGTTGTTGTTATTGTTTTTTTCTCCTCACTTAACACCTATTTAATAGTTTTAACGAGAAAATTAATTTTTTTATACACAAAAATAAAATAAATAATAAATATAAACATTAATGTCAAATGTTAATAAAAATAACATTGTATTAATTTCAAGTGTTTTATTTTTTTTTWTTGATAAATATCTAATTATCATAGATATTGGAAATATGGAAATTATTTTTTTTGTATTTTCAATTAGTTGCAAACAATTTGTGCATTTGACATTAAACCATAATTAAATCGTAATATCAATAATATTTATAATAATCATTGTATTAAATATTATTATTATTATACAATAGTAAACATTAACCAATAAAATTATAGTCCATAATAATCATCTGATATTTTATGCACAACAACAACAATAAAAAAAATCTATACTAATTAGTTGTTTTGTTGACTTAATTATTAATCAAAATCTAATTAATAATATTAATATATGAAATTAATTGACAATTGATTGCAAAATTGTGTTTAATTTTCTATCACTAATTGATTATATGCTGTATTAGATTTAAGTTGGTTTCAAATATTAATTGATAAATCAAATTAATTAGTTTTGTTTATTTGTTTGCTATATTCAAGGAATTATAACTTTTTTTTATTATTATTTAAAAAAGTAAGATTGAAATAAAAACAAAAATTTATTTATTTATTTATTTATACAGTATAAATTGTGAAATCAAAATCAATTAGGTTTTTTTCAATAGTATTATAGTTTCTTTTTAATAAAATTAAATGTCTAAGTATTAGTAATTTTTTTTTCTCTCTCTCTCTCTCTCTCTTTAATTTTGTAACTTATAATAATCATAAATCTTATAATAGAAATATTAAATTAAAGATTATATATATACTAAGTGTGAAAACTATTTGTTGCAATAATTGTGAAAAAAACTATTTTTTTATAAACCAATTATAATTGAGTCAAACAA